GAGCCTGACCAAGAACCTGCTGAAGGAGAGGTACGAAGTACGGTCGCGGCCGCGTAGCGTCTCCAGAACCAGCAGAGACACCAGCAGCAGGGTCCTCAGCACCAGCAGAAGCTCCAACGCCCGGGTCCTCAGCACCAGCAGCAGCGCCACCGCCCAGGTCCTCAGCACCAGCAGCAGCGCCACCGCTCGGATCCTCAGCACCCGCGGCAGCTCCAACGCCCGGGTCCTCAACAGCAGCAGTAGCGCCACCGCGCAGGTCCTCAGTACCAGTAGCAGCGCCACCCCCAGGGTCTGCAGCACCAGGAGCACCACTCCGAAGACTGCAGCGCCGCGCGTACCACTCTCGGATCTGCTGAATGGGGGGGAGCTCCTGGGCAGGAGGGGAAGTACTGGTACGAGCTCCAGCAGCACCTCTCCGGAGGCGGCAGTACTGTAGGTACCTCTCCTGCAGCTGCTGGGAGGAGAGGGCTCCTCCAGGTGTAGCACGCTCAGGCTCAGCACCTCCAGACACAGCACCCCCAGACGCAGCACCCCCAGGCTCAGCACCTCCAGGCTCCGCACCCCCAGGCTCAGCACCCCCAGACTCAGCACGGTCAGGCTCAGCACCCCCAGGCTCAGCACCCCCAGACGCAGCACCCCCAGACGCAGCACCCCCAGACGCAGCACCTCCAGGCTCAGCACCTCCAGACTCCGCACCCCCAGACTCAGCACCTCCAGGCTCCGCACCCCCAGGCTCCGCACCCCCAGGCTCCGCACCCCCAGGCTCAGCACCCCCAGACTCCTCACGGTCAGGCTCAGCACCCCCAGCAGGACGAGAGTCAACAGCTACCTCGACAGGCTCAACCGGGTCTACCTGAGACACACCTGAGGGAGCGGCACCCTGAGGGGGGAGGGGGTCTGGTACCTCAGCACCTGGAGCGAGGAAGAGAGGCGGGGGGGGGAGCGGGGCAGTGCGGTAGGGGAAGAGGCGGTAGTAGGGGACGGACTCGTCAAAAGTGACGTCCTGAGAGGCCAGGACACGACGCGAGGTGGGGTGGTAGAACTGCCAGCCAGGGGCGTCCGGGACAAAGCCAAGGAAAACACAGGGGACAGCGCGACGGAAGAGCTTGTCCGCGGACGTGTCGCGGACAAAAGCTCGGGATCCCCAGACCCGAAAACGCGACGCATCGCCAGCCTCTCCCGTCCAACGCAGTGTCGGAGAAGTCTCCGGTAAGGAGACACGGGGCCAGAGGTTGAGCTGATGCGCAGCGTATCGGACTGCAAACGGCCACAGAAAGTGGGGGGCAGCCGCATGGCTCAAGGAGGTACGAGCGACCTCCATGACCAGACCAATGCGGCGCTCAGCAACCCCATTCTGCTGTGGAGAGGCCGGAAGCGTGTACGACTGCTCAATGCCCTCCTGCTGACAGAAGGCCTCCAATAGGCCAGAGGAAAACTCCCCACCTCTGTCAGAGTGCAGACGCAGGACAGGGAAGTCGGAGCGGAAACGCTCACTGAGCTGGAGACGAGATCTGCGGATCCAAGGGATCAAGACATCAGGGACGTCACCCTTGGCGCGCAAGGGGAAGACCGTGGTGTAGCGCGAGAAGTCGTCAACAACAATCAGGAAGTACCTCTCCTGACCCTGACCACGGACGCGGGCTGGGCCCCACACGTCCATGTGGAGCGTCTGCAAGGGAGCAGTCGTCGGGGGAAAGGAGGAGGAGTGAGGAGCGGCGCGCTGCCGTCCCTCGACACAGGGAATACAGGGAGGAGCAGGCGAGTCGGGAAGGGGAGGGAGCACCCTGGGAAGACCAGCAACAAGGTCCCGTTTGTGCATGGCCCGAAGGCGCTGCACAGACGGGTGACCAAGGCGGTGGTGCCAAAGGACAGTCTCATGCGCTAGAGAGCGACACGAGCAGGGGGCGGACAGCTGACCTGACGCAGACGCAGACGCGGACGCAGCTACCTGAGGGGACGCAGTGGTCAGTGTGTACAGGTCCGACCCCGGCTGCCGAGTGAAGGTAGCCAGGTGACGGCCCGTCCGAGCACACGTGCAGTGTGTCACGCGCTCGTAAGCAGGGGTGAACTGGTGAACACCCCCGTCCTGGAGCGCACTACCTGCCACCAAGTTCGTAGAGAACGAGGGGAGGTAGAGACCTGACAGTGTGCCTGACGGGACTGCAGGACAAGGAAGGACAGTGGAGGAGGTCGCAATGACCGGACCCCCAGAGGGGTCAGCGAGGGAGACAGCAACTGGCCGAGCGAGTGGCTCAAGGACAGTGCGGTCACGAAAGAAACAGCGAGAAGCACCTGAGTCCAGGGTGAAGGTGTGCAGTGCCTCAGTCGACTCAGTACCAGGGGAGACAGACTCGCTAGCACCTAGAGCGACAGGCGCACCATCACCTGAGGTGGCAGACACGAGAGGACCTGCAGTGGCAGTCTCACTAGTACCTAGAGCAGTAGGCTCATCAGTAGCTGGAGTGGTAGACACGTGAGTACCGGGAGTGGTAGCCTCACCTGCACCTAGGGCAACAGACGTACTAGCACCTAGAGCGGCAGCCTCACTCACAGGACTCGGGAGCTGTACCTCTCCACTACTAGTAGCTCCCAAACGACGCACTCCAGAGGGACTACCACTACGGTCACTCCGACAGCCCAAACTGGCGTACCACTCACGAGCCTGCTGTAGCATAAGAGGGCACGGCTGCTGCACCTGGCCACGACCAGAGGCTCCCGAACGACGCACTCCAGAGTGACTACCACTACGGCCACCCCGACGTCCCAAACCTGCGTACCACTCACGAGCCTGCTGGAGCATAAGAGGGCACGGCTGCTGCACCTGTCCACTAACAGAGGCTCCCGAACGACGCACTCCAGAGCGACTACCACTACGGCCACCCCGACTGCCCAAACCGGCGTACCACTCACGAGCCTGCTGGAGCATAAGAGGGCACGGCTGCTGCACCTGTCCACTACCAGAGGTTTCCGAGCGACGCACTCCAGAGCGACTACCACTACGGCGACCCCGACAGCCCAAACTGGCGTACCACTCACGAGCCTGCTGGAGCTGCATCTGGCCACGTCAGGAGCAGCAGTAGTAGCGGGAGTAGTGCTGGCAGGGCAAAGCTCACCAGTGGTAGGCGCGGCGGGCGCAAGACGGTGGTGACAGCGGGGCCGCTGCAACTGCGGGGCGGGGCCAGGTCGCAGCAGGGAGCTCCGCGGCAGCTGCTGCAGGGTCGGCGGCAGCTGCTGTAAGGTCGACGGCGGCAGATGCTGCAGTCTCAGCGGCGGCAGCTGCTGTAGAGTCGGGGGCGGCTGCTGCTGGAGGGCAGGTGGCGGCAGCTGTTGCAGGTCGAGCGGCGGCTGCTGCTGCAGGCTCGGCGGCTGCAGCTGCTGAAGGTCCGGCGGCGGCCTCTGCTGCAGGCTCGGCGGCGGCAGCTGCGGTAGGCTCGGCGGCGGCAGCTGCTGCAGGTCTGGCGGCGGCTGCTGCTGCAGGCTCGGCGGTGACAGCTGCTGCAGGTCGAGCGGCGGCTGCTGTGGCAGGTTAGGCGGCGGTAGCTGCTGTAGGTCCGGCAGCGACGAAGCCGCGAAGGGGCGGCTGAGGGGTCGCGACGAGCAGCTAAGGGGCTGCGACGCGCGGGTAAGGGGCCGCGACGAGCGGGTAAGAGACCGCTACGGCGGCTAAGGGGCAGCAGTGAGCCGCGCGCAGGCTTAGAGCAGAGGCAGCGGCGCGCGGGCAGCGGCAGCAGCAGTGGCGCGCGAGCGCACAGGCGGCAGCTGGCGACGGGCGGCAGCAGCAGCGGGCGCGACAGTAGGAGCTGCAGCGGCGCGCGACCGCGGAGCAGGTTGCGGGCAGCGCGCGAGGCCGCGCGCGAAGAGACGGCCGCGCGCGGGCGGCTAGCGGGTCGCTCGCGAAAAAAAAAATCGACCGCGCGCGGGCGGCTAGCGGGTCGCGCGCATAAAAAAAAAGACGAGCCGCGCGCGGTTGGCTGGCGGGCTGCGCGTGCGCGGTAGGTAGAAGGCGCACGAGGGCGCGTAGGCGCACGAGGGCGCACGGTAGGTAGGTAGGTAGGTAACGGTGGGCCCTAAAACGGTCCTAGTGACGGACCTGCTCTGAAACCATGTCAGAATGAACGGACAGGAATGACTGTACTAGCACAAAGTTGGATACAAGTAGGAAACCCTAATCTAGTGTACCCCTTAAGGTGTAACCCACTACAGCCTACAATCATATAAACATATAATGTTTGACAGGAAAGTGTGGAAGGAGGAGGTGGTGAGGACGAGGAGGGTGGCTGGTGGGTGGGCGATGGGTGGGGAGGCGAGGACTGGGTGGTGGGGTGGCTGCCTGCCTCGCTGTGGTCGCTCACGCGCCTGCAGCAGCTGACCACCAACGTGGGAGGCGACTGGCCCTGCACGGGCCTCAACGCACTCTTCCCGCCTGACTCCACTCTAGGCCACTGCACAAACCCCAACGCCCTCTTCGCCCCCCACGATTCCATCTCACCTTCCTGCCACTGCTGCTGTTCCTCATCCTCCTCCTCCAGGAGCCACGATTCCGCACACCCCCACCAGCTTCACCGCCAGTGCCTAGCCGCCCTCCCTAACCTGACCTCTCTCTCCCTCCTCGCTCACCGCACATTCCCTCCCTGCCTCTCCTCCCTCTCATCCCTCACTCTCCTCTCCATTCCCCTCGCCTCCCCCCTCCTCTCCCCCGCTGCTCTCGCCCTCTTCGCCCACTGGCCCCGTTTGTCTCATCTGCACGTCAATGGTGAGGGTCCCGCCGAACCTCTGTTGTGGCCCGAAGCAACCCCTTCGTCAGCCTTCCTCCGCCACGTCACTCTCACGGGGACAGCTGGCGTCATCCCATTGGCGGTGTGGGGGCGGCTGTGCCCTCAGCTGCAGTCGCTCAAGATCCACGGCTCGCCCTTCGTTTCTCTGCACGGATGGGGGGAGGCATCTGGGGAGGGGGATGTGGGGAGGGGAGCATATGGAGCACGTGGTGAGGGGGAGGGCGCATGTGGTGCAGCAGAGACGGCAGCTGCGTGTTTCTTCCCTTTCCTTGAAGAGCTTGTGCTCCACAATGTGCGCAGCCATGCGCGTCCCCACACCGAGCAAGAGCACTCAAGACCAGATGACACTGGCCTGCAGCAACAGCAGCCTACGCTCGCATTGATGGGCCTTCTCCCCCGCCTGACCCACTTGGCCATCCACAGCAACCCATCACCTTCTCAATCCCCCCTGCCCGCACCCAGCATGGTGCCGCACCTCCCCCCCATCCTCACCTTCCTGCGCATCCACTCCCCCCCATGTGCGCCCCTGCCCGTGCTGCCGCACCTGCGCACGCTCATAGTGGGGTCCTACCCGCACTCCTCGCGCTTCCTCGCGTTGCTCTTGCTCTTCCCCGCCCTCACTGCCCTCCGCATCTTCAACCTCTCCACGCACAACCACCACTGCGCCCTCTCCTGCCCTCCCCACCTCAAGTCGCTCCAAATCTGCCACTCCAACACGCCCCTCCTCCCCGACTGTCTGCACCTCTTCTCCTCCCTCACTCGCCTCCACCTCTTCCAATGCACCCCGCTCCGCGCCCTCCCCTCCTTCCTCTCCGTCTTCTCCTCCCTCACCCACTTCAACTTCGGTCGTGGCTACGACCCTGTTGTGCTGCCTGTGGGGCTTCAAGGGTATCTGCAGGGGAGAGGCTGGTCGCGAGAGCAGGAGGAGGAGGGGAAGGGGAAAGGACGAGGGAAGGAGCAACAAGAAAGGGGGCCAAAGACACCGTACGAAATTGAGGAGGAGAGAAGGAGGAAGAAACTTCAGAGTGTGTTTGAGGGATCGGTGTTGAGTGAGGAGCAGAAGGAGGAGCAGTGGGAGTGGTGGCAGCAGGTGGGGAGGGAAGATGAAGGGGAGGGGCAGTCAATTTGTCACGGTGTAATAGGAGAGAAGGCGAACAAGCAGCAGCCTCAGGCGGAGCAGGGAGGGAAGTTGGTGCAAGGGGAACAGGAGGGGGAGGTGAGTGGGTCATGCAAGGACGCCGGTGCTACCAGCAACTGGATCAATGATTGGCATCCATGGTTGGCATGATCAATCGCAACTGGAGGAAGTACCAGCTGGGGTGCTACCAGCAGAGGGGTTACATTCGAAAAACAGCAGCACTTCCAGAAGCAGCAGTGCTGCCAGCAGCTGCACACAGCTAGTGCAGTTACCACCGGAGGTGCTACAAGGCGTGTTGCAGTGGGTGAAGAGTCCTGTCGACCAGGCGAGACTGAGACTGGTGTGCCGCGAGTGGCACCACTGCTGCCGCCTCCACACCTCCTGCTTCGCCCTCGCCCTCCACCCCCTCTCACTCGCCTGGCTGCCCATCCCCCTGCTCCACCCTCCTCCCCCCACTTCTTCCTCCTCCAAGCCTGTTCGCGGGATAAGCCACCACCACGAGATGAGAGCAGCAGCAGCAGCAGGTGTCAACGGTTCTTCTCTCTTCTCCTCCGCGTGGCTCCCCTCTGACTCTCCCTTCTGGGTCATCCACTCCTCCCCCACCTCCCCCTTCTCCCTGCTCTCCTCCTCCCACCCTCCCTTCACCCTCCCCACTCCCATCACCCCCTCCTCCCTCTCCACCTGCTTCACCCACCATCTAACCACCTGGCGCCCCCTCTCCCCCATCTGGTTCGCCTCGCTCCCCTCCCCCTCCTCCCTCGCGCACACCCTCGCCCGCTACCCCAACCTCTCTACGCTCGCCCTGCCCCTCGTCTCCACCACGGCCTGCCCCCTCCGCCCCTCCCATCTTCGCTCTCTGCTCGCCGCTGCTGCCGCTCTCCCTGCTCTCACCTCCCTCTCCTTGCTCCTGGAGCCCGGCTTCTCACCCAACCACCAGTGGGGGTATGGACGGGACGACTGGTGGGCGGATGCGGGGATGGAGAGGAAGGTGCGGCGATGGTGGGGAGAGGCGAGCCAGGAGATGGAGAGGGGGCTGTTTGCCGTGCTGAAGAGATGCCGGGGACTCAAGCAGCTCTGCATTCAAGGGGACACCCTCACAGACCGGCTCAAACTCCCCGACTCGCTCTTCCTGCGCTGCCCCCAACTCACCGCCCTCTCCCTCCCTCTCTCCCGCCTCCCCTCCTCCCTCCTCCTCCTCTCGCGCCTCACCTCCCTCGCCCTCGCCCTCCCAGAAGACCCCATGCCTCCGCAGCTCTCCCTCCCCTCCCCCTTCGCCCTCCTCCACTCCCTCCGCTCGCTCGCCCTGCACGTGCCAAGCACCCTCAAACGCCACTACCCCCCTGGGGATGGCACCAGCTGGAGCGGCGTGTCTGAGGGTCTGCTGCTGGGGCTGCCCTCGTGCCTCTCCGCCCTCTCCCTGCACCTCCCCATCTCCACCATTCCCTCCTCCTTCTCCTGCCTCTCCTCCCTCACTCGCCTCGACTCCAACCTCTGGATTCCGGGACTGGACGAGGAGGAGGAAGGAGTGGGAGAGCAGGAGGTAGTTGGGGAGGAGAGGGAGGAGGTAGGGGAGCTTGTTGTAGAAGAAGAAAGCAACGAGGAGGATTGGGATAGCAATGCAGGTGTTGCCTCAGGATTTCCTTATGAGAGACTGCTGCCTCTCTGCAACCTCACGTCCCTCTCTCTCTCCCACTACCTATTCTTCCCCCCTCTCATCCGCCACCTCACCCGCCTCACCTCGCTCTCCCTCCCATCCCTCCACCGTGCACAAGGCTCCGGAGTCAACAACACCGCGCCCTGCTCTCTCCGCCACGGCCTCTCTCGTCTCACTCGCCTGGAGGACCTCTTTTTCGGTTGTGACAACCGCTGCGAGAGCTCCGACTCTGCCTGCCTGCCTCGCCTGCCCCGTCTGCGTCGCCTGCGCGTGCAATGCCCCGATGAAACCGTGCACGTGGCTCGGCTCATCGCAGCTGTGGCACCATCCCTCGAGCAGCTGGACGTTCGAGCTGACTACCGCAATTATACCTCCGCAGATCTTTGCAGCACGGTTAGGTGGCGCAGAAACGGCGATGAGTGGAGGGCGCCTGTGTGTGAGCAGCCGAAGGTGCTGCAGCTGGTGACGTCAGGCCCTGCTTCCAATGTGGACATGGCGCTCTTCCCTGCCCTGGAGCACATGGCACTCGCTGGCAGCCGATATGTGCTCTGGCAAGTGGAGAGTGGCTTCTCTGCCAACCTGCGCTTCCTGCACTTGGACCATGCAAAGCTGTCGGGGTATGGCAGTGACAGTCAGCTGACGCAGCTAACGGCGCTCACCACTCTGGTGGTGGACGACGCTGACTGCCGGGACTTCCTAGCATGCCTCTCCTGCTTCTCCTCCCTGCACACCCTCCGCCTCTCCAACATCACCAGAGGCTGCTCTGAGCCCTATCTCACATGCCCGCCTCGCCTCGCCACGCTTCAAATATGTCGCTGCGACCTGCCGCACCTCCCATACTCTTTGGTGAAATTCTCCCGCCTCACTCGTCTCGACCTCCTCCACTGGCGCCGCTTGCACTCTCTCCCGCCTTTCCTCTCCGCCTTCACATCGCTCCGCCATTTCAGAGTTACCGCCGATGGCCCCATACCCCACGTGCCGGCGTGCCTGAAGGAATTTCTAAAAGGGAAGGAATGGTACGAGCATTCGCCTTGTGAGGGGAGCTTTGGGGATTGAGCATGTTGTTGCTCCCTTCTCCGTTTCCTACGTCCGCATGCATTCATCCTAGAATAGGGTGGTGGTAGCAGAAGTTTAGCCTCCATGATAGGGGGCGAAGGGCAGAGAGAGATTATGTTTTCTTTCAATGCCCCCCTGAAGTACTGTAGGTCAGGGCAGGAACTCCTTGACGTCTGGTGGCTCCTTAGGGCCCCATCTCTCGGCAAGCTTCTGAGGTCTTCACCAGATTGGTGCCTCTTGTGTGTATTTTGGATGAGATGCAGGCGGAGGCTGCTCAGATGAGACCCGAAACCTTGGCGCCAACTAGCGCGATGGCTTAGATAAAACCCAGGTCCCATCTTGCTTGTAATGAGTGAAAACCTATGTGTTAGTTTCGTTTGAAAGTTTCTAACCCAGTGTTGCCATGTCGAGTGAGCAATGGAGGTCTACAAATGATGCTATAGTGGCTGCCTGCACACTCCAAGTGATGTGCTGTGGTAATTCACGAACAACATTTCTTAAAACCCGAAGCCTAGGTTACATGTCAGAATCTCAATCACTAACCACTTGGATAAAATGGCTTGTTTATTTGACGGGTGAGTGCGCCCATAACCCCCCAGGCCGACGTGCCTGTAACCCTTCCCTAGGATCATCGGGGATCTCCAGTGGACCTCTGACACCCCCCTGCACTGGGATGCCCGAAGTGCACACACCGGGAATCGAACCCGAGACCTTCGCTCTGATACCATGTCAGAATCTCAGTCACTAACCACTGGGATAAAAGGGCTTGTTTATTTGACGGGTGAATGCGCCCATAACCGTCCAGGCCGACGTGCCTGTAACCCTTCCCTAGGATCATCGGGGATCTCCAGTGGACCTCTGACATTACAACGCTTGGTAAACACCTCCCAGAATAATTCAGGCTTCGGGTTTTAAGAGTCAGTTGTCGCAGACTCCTTTCTGAAGCTTGGCTTTGTCGGGCAGGCACACGCGGGTTGCTTTGATGAGCTTGTCGATGCAGTCGTATCCGTTGATGTGCTTGTAGCAGCCCTTGATGCCCCGGAAGTACTTCACTTCCCGCGCACCTGTCGCTGCTCCCCACCACATACGCATTCGCACGCGGGCACGTGCCCTGCGTGTACGACGTGGAGCTCGCAATGCATGCCTGGGGGGGGGCGAAGAAAGCAAGAGGCAGCAAGCACGAGAAGCAATGAGTTAATGAAATGGAGCTGGCGATGTATTTCTGTAATAAAAAAATGAAGGACTAGGCGGGAATAAGGAGAGTGACAAATGCATCAAGAGGAAGCAAGAGCTGCATACGGATTAGCACTCACATCACATTGAGAGACACGCCTCGGAGGTGCCAAAGACGCACCTCAAAGCCAGTGAAGGTGCCAACATCGGTGGGTGACATTAGGCTGTCACACTTGATGCCGGGGTTGAGATGGAAGAAGTCAACACGGGAGAGAGGCGGGTTGGGCACGTTGCGGATGGACTCGCACGTCTCACCGCTCTGCACCAGGTAGTAATGCGAGCACACTGGGATCAGCCCTGCGGCCTCTGCTCGCCGCTCCACACACACTGCCTGGTTGGGAGGAAGCGGGCTGCTGGAGGCGCTGCAGTCCACCCCTGGGTTGAGGGCTTGAAAGGCTGCTGTGCACTCGGGGGATGGACATGCGTCCGCCAGAGAAAAGTAGGCTGCCAGGTCCTCACAGGTGTTGCCCTGCGCAGGGAAGGGGAGAGACACATCAAGAGGGAGCGAGAGCAGCAAGGGAAGTGTTCTTTCAGGAGATGTTGCAGGAGAGGTGGGACATGGGGCATACAAATGTTATATAGCGAGATGATTGACACCGTGGCAAGTGTGGTATGCGTGAGATGGCAAGGCATCGAGGTGTGAGATGGCGATGGAGGGGTGGGAGATGGAGACCTGAAGAGTGGTGTAGAAGACAGAGCAGGGCGCGAGGGAGGTTGGGGTGGCCACACGGAGCACAGTCTGAGGTGGGATGGGTGCTTCACATGACACTGATGGCTGCATGCACAGTGGAGAGAGGGAGATATTAGGAATGAAGCACAGAGGTGGAAAGAAGCAACAGGTTGTGAAGTGAAAACGCGAAACTGGGGATGCGAGGCACAGGAGAGACCGATGCGTGTAGGCCGCAGGTGGGGTGAGTGCGAGGAACGCACGTTCTGGGCTTGGAACTGGGCGAGTGTGAGGCCGTAGACGGGAAAGACATCGGTACAGTAGATGTTGGGCGCGAGCACTGTGTAGGTCGTGCTGCTGCCACCTGCACGCATGCACCACAGCACAGCACAGCACAGCACAGCATAGCACAGCACAGCATGCAGCACAGCACAGCACAGCACAGCATAGCACAGCACAGCATGCAGCACAGCACAGCACAGCACAGCACAGCATAGCACAGCACAGCATGCAGCACAGCACAGCATGCAGCACAGCACAGCACAGCATGCAGCACAGCACAGCATGCAGCACAGCACAGCACAGCATGCAGCACAGCACAGCATGCAGCACAGCACAGCACAGCATGCAGCACAGCACAGCACAGCATGCAGCACAGCACAGCACAGCATGCAGCACAGCACAGCACAGCATGCAGCACAGCACAGCACAGCATGCAGCACAGCACAGCACAGCATGCAGCACAGCACAGCACAGCATGCAGCACAGCACAGCACAGCATGCAGCACAGCACAGCACAGCATGCAGCACAGCACAGCACAGCATGCAGCACAGCACAGCACAGCATGCAGCACAGCACAGCACAGCATGCAGCACAGCACAGCACAGCATGCAGCACAGCACAGCACAGCATGCAGCACAGCACAGCACAGCATGCAGCACAGCACAGCACAGCATGCAGCACAGCACAGCACAGCATGCAGCACAGCACAGCACAGCATGCAGCACAGCACAGCACAGCATGCAGCACAGCACAGCACAGCATGCAGCACAGCACAGCACAGCATGCATCACAGTGCATGCGTTTGGTTGATAGGATGGTGAATAAGAATGAAACCACGGCGTTCGTTTTGTGCAAACAGCCCAAGAATTCAAAGGTGTACTATAAAGGGGAAGGTACCTGGAGCACAGGAGAAGGTGCCATCGACGGTGGTGCCCTGCCTGAAGCCCGGTGGACACACACACGAGTACGACCCCGCCCCGTCATTCACACACGTGCCCACCGCACACGGGTTGCGCATCGCTGCCTTGCATACGTCCTCTGATGCCAGGCAGGGCGGGGCGGGAGAAGAGGGGTGGGATGACGGCGGAGAGTAGGGAGGGGAGGGGAGGGGAGGTGAGGGGAGAGGAGGGAAGGGAAGGGGGGAGAGGGGTGGGAGGAAGAAGGGGAGGGTGGGGAGGGAGAGGAAGAGAAAATTGGAGGGAAGTATGGCAAGTGGAGAAAGTGGTGACGAGAAACCTCCCAAGCAGGAGCAGTGTGGGCACGTACATGCAGGCATGGTCATGAGAAACCAGTGCACATTGGCCGTGATGATCCAACTTCTCTACAAAACAGACGCCTGTTAGTGTTAGTCTTCAATCTCACAATTTGTACTTTGTATTTTCTATATCCTAGAGTAGTGTAGTTTGCACATTGTGTTTGGTTGGGTGTACACCTACATCCCAACCAAACCCAAATGTAATCTCCAACCAATCTCCAACCCACCAATTGGAGATTGCCTTGGGATTACCCCCAATCCCTAGAGATTGCCCCCGATTCCCTTCCCCATCCTTTTCCTACCCCTCTTGGATGTACTTAAAGAGCTTCAAGCTCATTACTAATGTATCAGTTCAAAGCCTATTTCTGACAACGCCATCATGCGAGCTCCCCAGGTGACCAGCCGAGATTGCAGAGGCTTACTGTAGGCGCATGTGCGAGAGCCGTCAGCGTTGGTTGCTTGGATGAAGCGCGGGTCGTTGCAGTCACACCTGTTTGTGTTGCCGTCCACCACGCAGGTGAACTGGCCGCAGGGGTTGAAGAGAGATCCCTTGGTATCCGCGCGCGAGGCACTGTTGCATGGGTCAGAAGCAGCTGAGCAGGCAGAGAGTGGGTTAGCAGCAGGTGAAGATGATGCGAACAAACAGAGAAAGCAGGTGCGAGGCCATGTGTGGCAAGGAGAAGAAAATGATTTGTGTGTGTTGATTTTGAGATGCCATGCATGGCCAGAAGCTTTGTTGCACACGAATGCCGCATCGGTAGTTCAGGAGGAATACATTTCGGGATGAGTTTTGTTGACTCTGAGGCACTCCGCCTGGCATTCCCACCACCACACAAGAATCGCCAATCTTGCTCGCACCTCGCACGATGGGGTAGAGGCCTGGCAACGAGTTGATGCCGCACACGCCATTCCCCCCCTGGATGTCCATGCGCATGTGGCCCCCATCGCCCCAGTCAGGCCCCCATGAGTTGCGGATGATCCAGAAGGGCGGCGCCATGTGGGGGAAGCGCGAGTCCTTGCCCACCAGGCGGTACCCCACCAGCAGCACCACGTGGTTCAGGTTGTACGTGAAGCACGCTGGGTCCTGGTACTTGGACAGCTGGGGCGGGTGAGGACAAGATAGAGGGGCACAGAGATGCAGAGATGAAGAAATACAGAGGAAGGTGGGTGTTCTATCCTGCCAAATGTGTGGGGCGTGGGGCCCACACTTTGGCAGCCGGAGAGGTAAGCGCAAGAGGAGCTTGCAGTGGGACAGTTATCAGTAAGAACCGTCTAGGAAAGGGAACAAAATATATACTAGCAGCTCAAAACTAGGTGAACATTCAGCTCATGAGCGTCAGACGATCCCCATGCTCATCGTAGTCATTGCGTCAAGCCATTGTAGCCCTCCACTCACCCCATCGTAATCCTTGAAAGATGGGGCTGACGCCTCTATGTGCACCACCACTGGCTGGCGCTGCACGGCCAGCAGCAGCCCAAACCAGCCGTAGAAGGACGTCGACTCAAAGCCCCTGATGAAGAGCTCACTGACCCCGCCGCGCTGCGGGGGGCATAGTTGGAGAGACACACGGGCAAGGATTAGTAGCTATCGTATTGCCTTACCATTTCCTCACGTCTGCCTCACTTTCTGCTCATGCATGGCTGCGCTCATGTACAAAAACAAAAGATGAATTCAACAGATGGAGGACGGATAATAGCTCACTATCCAAACACAATAATCACTCAGCAACGCTGTGTTTACTCCACTGCACCCATCCACACCACACTCTGTCTAAACCACAACAGCCCTCGCCTCACACAAACCTCACCTTTATGGCGCCACTGCCATTACTGCATGGCACGCCCAGCAGCATCGCCAGCGGCTTCAGCAGCGGCGAGCACATCCCACTCCTGCCCATCACCTTACCCCTCCTCTTGCCATTCCTATTCCCACTCCTGCCAGCCCAGTCACTCGTTATCATAAGCTGCCCCCCCCCTCCCCGGCGAGCCAACTTGAGCAGCAACTGGAAGGCCTGGGAGGGCGTGCTACCGGAGCAGCCGGCCTTCATGGCGGTGGTCAGCGGCTGCACTGCCAGCACCGGTGCCAGTGACAGGTTCGCCATGATGCTGTAGGCTGTTTCGATGCTGCCCACCACCGCGTACGCCCAGCAGTCGCCTGCAGTTGCAGTTGGGGATAAGAGTGGAGCGGGAGGTGAATGCTTGGAGGGATTGCTTCCGACTGGTGTCACATGCATTGAGTTCAGTGCACGACCGCCCTTATATGACCGAGATTGAGCTCATGTACTTGTTTCGCCCTTCCTTCCCACCCCCCCACCCCCACCCCTCTTTGCCCCACAACAACACCCCCCTACCCCTCACATCCCCATCTCCTTTACCCACTTCGCTCCCAACCCTCGCAAAGAAGCCCCTTTCTCCACAACTCCTTACCCACCCGTCCCCAGCGATTATCAATGGCCACAAGAAGGGTTTACGTGCATCCGGCTTGTTCTGACCATATTCAATGCACCTCTGCAGCAGCATGACACGAACTCTTACTCCACCGCATGTGCCTTGCTGACCTTCGCCAGCCACCGACCAGTTGATTCCGCCTGCACTGCTCCCAGCAGCCGACGGCGAGCGAGCCACACGCTGTACGCATGCCAGGCCGCACAGCAGCACTGCCAGCAAAGTGATGCTTCCTGCAAATCACCTCAGATCCGAACACCCACCCCACCCCACCCCTCCCCACCCCACCCAAGTGCCGATTACTGAGTCGACTAAGATATCAGCTCGAGACCCGCCGCACCCAACCCGACCCCACCGCTGGGGTCTCACCGCAGGGGCCTTGGGTCTTAACGGGCCAGAGGAGGTCGGAGCGAGCCCAGGAGGAGGAGGAGCGCATGCTGTACATGTCTTGTCCCTGGGGGTCGTCGGTAACGATGCCAGCGCTGGCGTAGCGGAAGAAGAGGTTCATCGCCGCCTGGGAGAGCACCGCCTCCCCCATTCGCAGCCCCAACGCCGTACCTGCCGGTGTGGGGGCGCGGGGGGGGGGGGGGGGGGAAGAGGGTAGAAATGGGGAGAGTGATGGAGGACAGTGGAAGAAGGTGACGGAGGGGAGGTGCAGGAGATGAGGAGGATCAGGAGGGGCGGATGAGGACAGAGGGATGGAGAGGGATGATTGGATGGTACGCAAAAAGGGCAGAGGTGTTTTCTTGAGAGGCTGGATGATTGAGACAACTGGACTGGGCGCTTCACAGCTTGCTGGTGAGGAGGAGACGAGGAGTTGACAGGGGGATACACGCATGCGTCAGACTTCAATCTGAACTTACGCACTCGCTCGTCTATTATATTTCGGCTTGGTGTTATTGTCACTTTCACGGATTGGGTGTTGCACCAATATCCTAACTTACCCAGATGTGATCAAACAAAATCTCCAAACCAGCAATAGGAATATAAGCCAATGTCGTTGGGGATTCCCTACCCTACCCATCATTTCTTTCCATCTCTACGTCAAGTTCTTACAGTACGGACCTACCGGCTTGAGATGGCTGGGTGGGGAATCCTGGCAGAAACAAAAACAACGACAACAAGAACAAGCGTGTTATGCTGGGAATGTAACGTAAGGTGGGGAGCGAGAGGGCGAGAGAGAGCTAGAAGGCACGCTTGCGATGTAAGAGAATCGTATTGTAGTACTCGGTCATGCAGGGATGGGAAAGCTTTGAAGCGCCTAAAAAATGGACAGCATAGCTGCACTGCGGTGTGATCTGCCTGCATGCTTGCTTGCCTTATCTGCCGCACTCACGCGTGGAGAAGGACCAGGACGAGACGGCGTGCCTCTGCGCCTGCCTGCCCGATGCCGCAGTGAAACCCACCGCAAACGTGCTCTCCGTGGGCGAGGGTGCGAGGTGTTCACACAGGGAGATGCGCGCTGACAGCACGGGCTTTGTGGGGCGCGGGGAGGCCTTGGAGGAGAGGAAGACGCGCAGGGAGGCAGCAGCAGAAGCAGAGGAGGGGGAGTACTGAATCCAGGCGTATTTTGGAATGCCGTCGTTGAGCGACATGCGGGCAATAGCTGTGGCTACGGACACAACGCTGCCGTTCATGTTCACTCCCACGTGGTTGCTGTTTAGGTCGCTGTTGCCCGCATCCATCGACGTATCAAACTCCACTGCCACGCTGCGTGCTCCCATCCCCGCATACCCCATGCCGCCTGCCACCAGCTGTGCCGGGGGGGACGGGTCGAACGCCACCACAAAGGCAAAGCCTTCAGAGCGGTGGTGGCGGGGTGGGTGAGAGTGAAGGAGAAGGAGGAGGAGAAGGCGAGCTCGCGCCCACAGCCGTCTGCCACGAGCTGGTAGGAGAAGAGCGGCACTCGCTCAGTCAGGAACACGGCTCCTCCCTTGGCTGGCTGCAGAGGTGTGAGAGTGAACGTGGGTGTTGCAGTTGCAGCATCGAGTGTGGCGTCGCCCTTGGTCGTGAGCGCTGCTGCTGCGGGTGTTAGGTCTCGCTCCACTGCTCCATCGGGAGGGAGGGAGGGAGGGAGGGAGGGCAGCAAGAACACACATGCGAGAACTTTCAGAATGGCAGGACAGGGGCAACCCAGAAGTGAGGAAGCCGGGGGAGGTGTTATAAGAGTGAGAGACGGGATGAACGAGATGAGACGGTATGATTGGCAGTCTTTATGAATGAAGCACGGAGGGTGTATCCTTTCGTTCGCAGCAAAAAGCTCTGTTGTACAGCACACGGATTACTCCCTAGTGGATGGACAGAACAGATGTGGCTGTGCCCTCAATCCTTACAACCACCCCACTCACCCGGCACAGCTACGCAGCTGCCAGGAAACTCCCCAGTCACAAACCCATCATCACACGCGCAAGTGGGCGTGCTGCTGGGGCCGTCCAAGAAGCAAGTGCCATGGCTGTTGCAAGCAGGCGCATTAAGAGACAAGCCACAGAACGCAGAGCACACGGCCTCCGGCCTCTGAGGGTCGTCCACACATGCAAAGCCGTCCGCCGGTGCCGCGGCACAGTTGCTGCTGTAGGTGATGTAGCCCTGGGCGCACGGGGGAGGCGGGGAGAACCCCTCTGTGAGGTAGTTGCTGTCTAGCTGGTACTTTGAGATGGACTGCTGCACCGGCTCCAGCACCTTGCCTGTCAGCTGGTTGTTTCGGAGGTTGCTGCAGAGAGAAATATGGAGAATGGGGGATAAGAGGGGGGGATAAAGTAATGGGAACCAGATAAAACAAACATGGGGAGAACAGCAATGGATTGAATTAGCGAAAGTGGCCTTCCCAGACGAAGATAATGACTGACCGTGTTTATTTGGTGGGAGAGCCATGAAGCAATGGCCATGTGTGCAAGAGATAGGAAGGCGCAGGAAGCACATGCGGGTGACCGAGCACTTGGCTTGAATGAAGCAGGCGTGTATTGGGACTGAGTCTTACAGCACGTGCAGACTGGTGAGAGCAGTGAGGCTCTGTGGCAGGTCGCCTCTCAGACGGTTGGAGCTGAAATCACTGGCACAAGAGAGAAGGGCAGTCGAACGAGGGGGGAGGCGTTGGAGGAGAGGAGGAGACGAGCAGCAAAGAGAGTGCATGAGTGCGCTCCTCTTTTATGCCATGAGCAATGAGCGCAAAACAGGGATACGGCCTTTGCCGCAGCTCAGAAACACACACACACCCCATGTGAGGAATGTGAGGGATGCAGACAGGTTGAGACATGGATGGGCATAGAGGGCGGTACAGCAGAGTGAGCTGGATCAAGCGCGTGATGTCGTCCGGTATTGAGCCGCCCAGCTGGTTGTTACTGACGTCACTGCAGTGGAGAGGACGAGAGCAGTGGCATGGATGAATGCTTGCGTGCACGTCTCAGAATCTTCCTCAGTGACACACATGCAAGACAATGAAATGGCAATGATGGATGTGAAGACCGACGATAGAAGGGAACAACAGGGGGAGCTCGGCAATGCACGTTGCAACATAAGTGGGTGGAGAATTCGCCACTCCTCTCGAGCGTAACAGTGTGGGCTCTGTCATGTCAAGCATGACAAGCGTGGTGCATTGCATGCGCAAGCAGCAGCATGACGACAGTCATGGGCATCAGCATGAGCATGGGCATGGGCACGTGGACGGCCACGGGCATGGGCATGTGCATGGGCATGGGAATGGCATGGGCATGGTATGGGCATGGGCATGGGCATGGCATGGGCATGGCATGGGGATGGCATGGGCATGGCCATGGCCATGCATGGGCATGGGCATGGGTATGGCGTGGGCACGTCCATGGGCATGGCATCTCACAACGACTCCAGGCTGACTAGACTGCTGAGGGACGCTGGAAGAGTGCCGGATAAGGACTGCTAGCAATGTATCTGAATGGAGCCGGGAAGAGCGGACATAGGGAGGGAGGAGCAGCACAAGGGGGAAGGAAAATGCATTAATCAAAGAGCAGATGAACTAAGAGAAAACCTCCAACGCATACAGTTCCAAATTGCACACTGCACAGCTGCCTCCCCTCTCCCCTTCCCTCCCCTCCCCCCCCCCCCTCTCCCCCCCCCTCCTCCCCTCTCTCCCACTTCGCCTCTCCCACTTGCCGGCTTCCACCACTCCTCTCACGTGCTCATGAGAGCAGAGTGCTCAGGCCTCTCACAGCCACTGTGAATGGATCACTCTCACCCACCTCCACTTCAGTGCCCTTCGCGTAACAGCCAGACCAGCTCCACTTGCCACGGTGTTACCTACCATCAAACATGCTTGCTCTCCTCCTCCTATCATGAGCACGCCCTTGTGCTCCCTTACCAGTTTGTATGTTTGTGTTTTTCTCCCACCAAAAAACTCAATTATAGTTTTCTTATCAAAGCCTAATAGGCGCGTAAGAGAACCGAGGATGAATATATATGCAATATTTACACATATATGAATATATTACTTGCTCAGACGAGCACAGGACATACATTGATGAGATCGTACGGTGAGGCAAATGGTGCCAGCATCCAACCAAATGGAGGCACACCAAGCTTGTGACACTCCAAGCTTGTGACACTCCAAGCTTGAGGCATCTCAACACGGAAGCCAAGTCAAAGGGCTCCTGCACTGCCATATTTGTTGCCCTAAGCTGGAGTAAGTCAAGCCAGTGGCAGGCGTGTGAGTGTGTGCGAGCACTTGAGGTTCACCCTGAAGCTTGTGACGAAGAAGTCGAAGCAACACTGGCCTGACGGTTCAGCCGGAAAAACTCCATGGAGTGGGAAGTGGTAGCGACCATAATGTTCAAAGGAAGACCGGCCGCGCAGGAGGTGAGAAGGGATTGGAGTGGGGGAGAGAATGGGCCCACAAGAATGGGAATTGGCGTAGGGTGGGGAGAATGAAGGTCTTTACAGTTGGTGGAGGTTGGTGAGAGCAGAGACGCCTTGGGGAATGGTTCCTGTGAAGTTGTTGTCGCTAGCCCAGCTGTGGGACGAGACAATATCAGAGAGAAGGAGAGTTGGGAGAGGTTGAGTGAAGGGAATCAGTCGGACAGGACAGCGATAGTGAGAGACATTGAGGATGGAGGAGTAGTGGGTGTGGGGGAAGAGTTAGCCTCTTGGATATGTCAGAAAGATAGCTCAACGATTGCACGGCATGACAAGTTTGGTGCACTCCATGCCACGTGTTTCTGGCAGCAGCAGTGGCGTCAGCATGGGCCATGGTTCGTGGCACGCATATGCCACCTCACATTCTTTCCAGCTTGACTAACTTGCTGAGAGACCAGGGAAGAGTGCCAAATAAATGGTTTCCATTAATGTATCTGAGTGGAACAGAGAAGAGCAGACGGAGAGGGGAGTGAAGAGAACATGGTTGGGCATTGAGGAATGGAGATTGGGGCGGTATGGGTTGCACAGCGGTGAGATGCCATGAGGAAAGGGGGGGAGTTTAGCGTGCTCCACACCCTTCTCCCTTGCCCGTTCCCCATTACAACCAGGTTGTTAGCAGGTCCCCTCCTCTAGCGTTGTGCGTACTTCATATGCAAG